AATAATAATAAAAATCATTTTAAATTCTTGCTTAAACGAAGAGTTTTAACTACAATTTAATCTTAGACATTTTTAAATACAGTGGTAACACTGATTTTGATTTACATAATTTAAAATAAAGTCACATTATTATTGTACCCACGTTTGTACTGTGGTGATGGATGTAGGCCCGAAAAGCTTGATCTATAATATATGTCAACAAACTTAAGTTGCTTGTTTTATGATACTAGCTTAAACAAAGATACGAGCTATCCATTATTAATTTACTTCCTTAATTATAGATCAGTGTTTTTACTCTAAAATTGCAGTTTATAATAATCTTTAAGGTATAAATAGTTAAGAATAAAATTTATTTTTTATTTTTTAAATTCATCTGCCTTTATTTATTTGTAATTTTTTTTTGTTTATTTTTGAAATCTAGAATACACTAACGAGTAAATTTTACTTGTAATTGAACCAATAAAAATTGTTAATAATTATATATTGAATGGTTATTAAAACTTGATACACTTGACACGATGGAGAGGCAAAGGTAAGGAAAAATTATTTTTTGATTGTACATATTACACTAAAGGTACACATTTTCCTTTTCAATTTTCGTTTGACTTAGATTATTTATTGTAAAAAATAAAGTTTTGATTTTAAAACACGTGTTAAAAATACATCTACTCCTATATATATTTTATGTTTTGAATATTATATAAATTGTTCTATATTATAAAGTAATTTCCCGTTAATTTAACGAGCATTGATATCGTTAACTATTAAAATTTGAATGGTAGTATTTTGACGGTAATGATTGTAATTATATTATAAACCTGTTATTTTATCAATTCAAAATCGAGTTTATACTATCAATTGGATAAATCAGTGTGTTTCTTAAGGTAGTAAAATAGGCGATACAAATGTCGCCCAGTGAATATAATTTGTCGTTTAAATGATAGTTTTTAACCTTTTTTTTATCATCTGGGCGATATATTTATCAAAAAATACTTATACTATAACTAACTAAGAAAATATTTTTGTCATGTGAGAATATGGTAAAAGAGTACTCTGGGATGAACTATATATACAAATTTTTACATTACATTAAAATAATAATAACTAAAAAACTATATCAAAATAGATTGGCCTAAATTTTGTTTTATGACAGTTTATTAAAAATTTAAATATTAGAGTAATGATTTTAAATGTCGGATACTCAAACCTCACGGAGTTAAACAAAACTATTCAAAATCTTAGACATTTTTTTACTTAAATTAATTTTTTAAAATGCAATTTATTTTATTACCTAATTTCTCTCTCAAAAAAAA